CGTGTGGCAGAGAAGAACTGTGCTCCATAGGGCTTTCAGTTAGTTTCCTAATACAGTGCTCTCATTTTATAGATGGAGGCACCAGAGCACCATGAGGTTAATTTCCCAAAGATCACACAGCTGGTAAGTGGCAGAACTGGGATTCAAACCCAGGTCCACTTAACAGCAAAGTCCATGTTCTTTACTCTGAAATGCACAGGTCCCATTCAATATAGAACAGTTCAATGAATCACTGGACAGGACAAGGCAGAGCCAAACATCAAGTGTTAAAGTAAAATAGGCACCTCCTGGTTTTTAAATATGCCTGTTCTCTGCTAAAAAGTAGCTCTTGTAGTAGAGTGGTTAAGGCATTTGGCTGCTAATTGAAAGGCTGGTGATTCAAATCCACCAGCCATTCCGTGGAAAAAAGATGAGGCAGTTGGCTTCTGGAAATATTTACAGCTTTGGAAACCCTGCAGGGGTAGCTATGAGAATTGACTCAATGGCAGTTAGTTTGGTTTATTGTTATTCTCTGCTGAAAGGAGCTCTGGTGGTGCAATAGTTAAAACATTCGGCTGGTAACCAAAAGTCAGTGGTTCTAACCCACCAGCTGGTCCACAGGAGAAAGATGAGGCAGTCTGATTCCATAAAGATTTATAGCCTTAGAAATTCTTTGAGGCAGTTCTACTCTATCCTACATTGAATCAACTTGATGGGAGTGGGTAAATTTTCTGCTAAGCAGTCCCTGGATGGCACTAACACTTAAGTGCTTGGCTGCTAACCAAAAGGTTGGTGGTTCAAGTCCACCCAGAAGTGCCTTAGAAGAAAGGCCTGGTGATCTACTTATGAAAAATCAGCCACTGCAAGCCCTATGGCACATAGCTCTACTCTTACACACATGGCTTGCCCTGAGTTGGAGTAGATTTGAGGGCAACGGTTTCTGTTAGTCTACAGACGGTATGAAGGAGGCCATTGTGAGATTCCCATGCTACCTGTCAGGACGGGACCAGTACCCTGTGTCCCCAGACAAAGGCTATAGTCAGGCTTGTACCCTAATGCCATTGGCAGATAAGCAATGACAAGCCTATTTACTGTTCAGAAAGAAAATGGAGTTGCTCAAAGCTGTTTTCAATATTTTCTCTTTAAGACCAATTTATTTCTAGGATGTATTATAGATCATTTTACAGCTTTGCCTGTCCATATTGTGACATAAACTGTTCTCTTATCTACTGTTAATAGGAACATACCAAACCAAACCAAACTCACTGCTGTGGAGT